AATCAAGATTGAGATTAATATGTGACAATGGTCCACAAACATGCTCTTAGCTCATGGGAACAGTGAGCAAGCACAACTTTGCTTAGTTTGTAAGAGAAAAAGGTTTAAGCCTTAGCTTAAACACTCCAGAGCTGCCCCGAGCTAGTCATGAGCACCCAGGCAGCTGCCACAGCTCAGGTGACCTGCAATAACTTGTTATTTTGCAGTATTTTTTTTTTTTTTGGGGGGGGGTGATGGTGGTGGTGGTGTCAATCATTCAGAAAATTTCAGACATTTCATCTCTTTATAAAAATAAAGATTTAAAAAATTCTATTATTCACTCCTTCACAAAAACGTACAGTTTCAGAAGAAATAAAAACGAAAGCTTTTCCACCATATTAAGCTAGTAAGTGGAGCCCTAAACCAAGAGCTAGGAAGTTTTTTGAGACTTGTTTATCAAGAGTACACTTGTTTAGGTTACAAAATACCTTACTAAATCCTTAGAACTGTAAAAATACATTTAATGTTACTTAACGTTACTCCAATAACATAAAACCACAAAACTATACTGAAATTCTTGGGGATATTTTCATTATTTTTTCTCCAGGGATGACATATGTTTCTAATAACTTGCCACCGAGGTAACAGATTTAGCAGGGTAGCAGCATGCTGAGAAAGATAGCAGGATTTTCAATTTTCAGATGAAAGCAGCTCTATTCCCTGGCAGCCCTACTCCCAACCCCTTTAGGCCAGATCAAATTTTATCTGAAGCTAGCGGGTGCCTGTCTTCAACTTCAATGGAAGTTGAATTAGGTTTTCTACATACCTGCAGTAAACAATTTGAAGCTTATCAGAGTATTTCTAATCAGTACTTATACCAGAGGGAATCTGTAGCAATTAACAGGATTTCTGGGCTTGCTTATTTACATATGTTTAGCTAAAAGACGACCCAGTTTTTGCCAGCAAATAACATCCATCTCATTCAGCAGACTCACAGGGTAGATTATCAAAAGGAAAGTGCTATGCAAATTATACAAATCTCCCCTGCATCTACTAGCAACAGATTTTTAAATCTGTTACATTAATTTACACAAGGAAAATCTATGGCACTACTTCACAAAATCAGGATTAGTTTGTAACATGTATCTCACCTTCAGCTCCACATTTATCCCACAGGAAAGAAGGTATTTTTCATCTTGAGACACTTTTGTTCTATGTACTAATTTCAAACTGAAGCATCTGACAATCTTCATTGCTCAAGAAAAGTCTATGTATAAGAATATTCCTGTAGTTCATGAAGCTCTCTGACAAAAGCTTTATGTAGTATTTTTCATATGGGTGCTTAATGACAGGTGCCATTTAATGAGTCTAGATATGAAAGTGATGAGCCCTCAAGGACACTGTAACCACTTGCACAAGAATTGTTGTTAAACTAAGGCCACTCACACCAGAAAGCTTTGTTTCACGCTTGATTTAGTCCAACTATTTGAAGAACTAACCCCCAACTTTTCTTTACATCTTCATGTAATTTCATTTGGAGAGCTGCTTTTTTCCTAAACTAACCTTTTAGTGTATGAAAACTGACATAAACTGTTCTATCAAGTTCTCTAAAAATATTGCCTTGCTAAAAATAAAGCTTTTATGATTAACAGGAAATATACAAATACATACATGTGAATATATGAACAAAAAAGACCAAAGCCCTTTTATTGGAGGTCTTTATTTAACAAATTTGTTGAATCTATTTAACAAAGATTCAACAAATAAAGCATCGCAGGTGCTTGCATCATACAAATGGCTGGTGCTACATTTTGTACAGCTTTTCTGTTCTTTCTGATTAAATCTTCTCTTTTGCAGAAAAGCTCATTGCTCTGAATCTGACCTCTGTCTAGCAGTTTTATAAAATAAGAATAAAACTATATTTAGATCCAGAAAGCCATGGGTTTTAATGCATGCAAAACTGCAAAAGAATCAGAACTAATCTTAATGAGGGAAACTTTTATCAAGTGTAATTCTATCTGTTCCCACCCAAATGGGTCTAATTTGTTCCATTATCTGTAAAAATAACAGCTAAACACTTTGACTAAAGCCTCTGAAGCGTATTTGTTCAATTAATAACCATGCAAATATACAACCACTCAATCATGCCAGAGGCTGCTCCCCAAGCACCTTCAAATCTCATGTAAAGCTGTACTGATCATTACTAAGGGACCTTTTTCTTGCCCCAGTCAATACTGTGTCATAGGTGACAGGATGGAAAGAGGAGGACAGGACTACTCTCCTTCACTCTACTGCTCCTGAAGTCCATCAGAAGTAAGACTAAAACAGCTAACACAGACTGATCCTTCTCATATCCCTGACTCTGTTCCTTCACAATAAGGACCTAAGGGGTCTTTCTTCAAATGAGGCTCCTTGGGAACCGGGGAAGCTACCTGCTGGTGAGTCAAGGCATAGAAGCAGAAGAAGCTATTTTGGAAAAACAATTCCTTTTCCTGTTTTCTTCCTTTTCTTTTCTTTTTTTTTGTTTTTTTGGTTTTTTTTTTTGTTTGTTTTGTTTTTTTTTTTACTTTAACCAGGACTGCAAGACATGGATCTGTGGTATAATCTTACAAAGCTTTCCTAGCTTCCACTGTACTTATTTATGGAGGACTTGGGAGCTTCTTCTTCCAAGAAGCACTCCGCATCTTGCAGCATCAGGTGCCTCATGAACAACTAGATAGAACTTTACATATTAATAAATTGAATCTATAACCTTAGTAGTTAAAATGGAAAACATGTTTTACATCAAGTGTAATAGCGTGTATGCAAAGCACATATGTAATAACATGTATGCAAAGCAGGCTCACAGGCTCTCTGATTTGCTTCCCAAGCAGAATAAGGGCAGAAAATATCCATTTTTCTATATATAAATGTACCTGCCAAAATATTTTTCTATTTGTTAAGTAATCTGATAAATGTTCAAAACATACAGAGTGAGAGTCTGATACTTGGTTTTGTCAGGGCAATGTATACCTTCTCCATTCATACATGCTTCTAAGAAAAGAAAGAGGATCTTGCTACTTTCATTGTACTGGCTCTGTGAAGACTTATGATGCTGATAGGCTCAATTAAGCTATGATGACCTTCAGCAGAGATAAAATTTGCTCTTCAATATTGTATTTCAAGTACCCAAAATATCTAGGAAGGAAAATTCTGAAACACTAATACAGACTTTGTTTTATTACATATCTGTTAAGCAAATAACATTCACATATCACTAATTCTTAAGTCTAAATATATGAAAGTAAAAATGAGAAGTTAATAACAAAAGAAGTCAGTTAGAAATCAACTTTCTCTAAAACCAAAACCTGACCTTTTGAAAGCAAGTACAATAGTTACAAAGTGATTAAAACCATACTGCATTTTGAAACCGCTTTTATGTAGACTGCTTCTTTAACAAGTCTATTACTTTCATTTTTCCCTTAGAATGAGAGAAGAACATGGACTGCGGAACGTTGCCCATGTAACCAGGCTGTGCACTTCAGCCTTACTGGACTTGAACCTTATTTTGCACCTTGTGCAAAACCATCACAACGTGCATGGTACAAGGCTAAAATAAAATCATCCCAGAGCTCCACAACAGCTTCTACTATCACCTCAGTTCTAAAGCAGACCTTCCTGGCTTGTGGTCCTGAGTGGGTCAGGGATGTCCCTGCCAGCCAGAGAAGCACACCCAACAATACTTCATGGAATGACCAATAACATCCAGTAGGGCTTTGCCCTCATTTAGCTCTTATGCAAAATGATCTTAAACTACTTAAAATACAGGACTTTACACCACTCTAGAGTTAGGCACAGGTTGTAAATCTTGTATTTTATAAAAATGGGGTAAAAAGAACCAAAGAGGCTGGACTCAGCCACTTCAGTGGCAGAAGGAACAGTGCTCAGAACTGAACCGACTAATGCACTGCCAACACTACACCCACTTCTGTTTTGCCAAGTGCTTCTACAATTTCAAGCTCCGCTGTCAGTGACAGGGTCACATTTTTAAATCAGTGACAGACAACAATAGCTTGCTTTCTTTCACTTCAACAGGTCACAAGAATTAGATGGAATTATCAAGGATTTATTCTCTCTCACTCTGTATAGGAAAAAATCAAAAGTAAGACTGATTTTTTTTCTTCTCACTTTGATTTTGCTGAGCTGCTATCTGCTTTTGGAAAGTAACAGAAATTAGTAAAGGTGGATAGTACTCTAATAGCTGGGCATGTAAAGACTTCTAAAACATAATCCATTAATGCTCACTGCAGATACGCGCCTTCCCCAGCAGGCACACTAATAACGTTAATGTCATAAGCTATTTAAACCAAAAAAGTTAGTCGTCCTCACCTCTAAAAGCTGGACACTTATCTACATGCACAGACATGGATGTTCAGCCAGCGTACGACACAAACAGTCCCTACACCAACACATCTATCACCTAGTTCTGAAGACAGACTGGACAAACAGGTGTTTGCCAGGAAACTGAAGTTTTGGATGCAGGTCACGCACCACATTCACATAGAAGTGGTGGTTAGCTGAGGCCTCGGAGCTGACGCGGACGAAGCGGCTATGCTGCTGGGCAGGACACCTGAGGAACCTGGAGCGCTGACAACTGCGGAGGAGTGACCGCGGACGGTATTTTGTGGTGTTCAAGGCAGACATACTCCTTCCCCACTGTAATCTGCTACAAATCACATCTGGGAGCACACATATGAAGAGTTCCTGGCAGGAATCCTATCTTTAATCAATTAATGGCAGTGTGACGTGGTCCTTTTCCCGAGATTATCTTTCACGACATATTGTCCAATTTTTCCCACTTCTCAAAAAGCGGGGAGCAGCCTGGGAGCACATACCCCGATGTCAGCATGCCACTGCTAGCTTCTTTACAGACATAAAGCTAAAACCCTTTGGCTCAAAGTATCGGATTGAGATCCCTTAAAAAACCAATCCGGCAGAAGAGTGCCACTTCGCACTAAAATCCCGAGTCAGACCAGCTGTAAAGAAGCCGAGCGGCTGTTCACCGGTTCCAACAAGAGAGCGGAACGGCTCCGGCTCTCCCGGTGTTTACCTTCCCGGGCTCCAAGCGAGGCGGCCGCCCGGCAGCGGGGATGTTCCCGTACGGCAGCAGGTTTGCTGTTACCCCCGCCCCCCTCCTCGGACACCCCCGGGGCCGCGCCGCTCCACGCCCGGCGGAGGCAACGACGGGCGGGGGTGTCCGCGGACACCCGCCCGGCTGTGCCCGGCCCTGCCCTCCCGCTCCCCGCCGCGGTGCCCCCGCTCACCGTGCTCTGGCCGCCGCTGCGGGGGCTCGGGCGGGGACGGGAGCAGCGCGGTCGGGCTGGCAGAGGCGGCCCCGCGGCTCGGCCCCGTGCTTCGGGCCGGCTCACACGTCAGCCCGCGCCACGAGACCCGGATCTGCCGGCTCCCGGCGGCAGCGGCGGGGCCGGGGCGGTGCCGCGCGGCTCCCGCCCCCCACGCACGCCCCTGCGCGGCGCGGCTGCCACCCGCACGGGAGCCAGGGGCCGCCCGCGCCGCCTCCGGCACGGCTGCAAGACAGGAGCGGCCGCGGCACGGCCGGGGCAGGCTGGGGCGCAACGCGTCGGCCCTAAAATAAAGCCCCAGTAAGTGAGAGCTGAGGAGGTGCAGGAAAAGTAGCTCTTGGGGGGGCCTGGTGTGCTTGTGCGTCTGCCGCAGCCCCGCGGTCAGGGCTTCGCGCTCTGTCACTTTGGTGGCTTGGCCCACTAGCCATCACCTTCAAAGTATGAGGGAATTTACAGTGTGGTTTCTCACCTAGACGTCTAAAGCCTGTTCAGGAGCTCATGACTCACAAGGCTTCTCAACAATTAAAACATCCTCCAAAGTATGCAGTTAGCTGTTGTAACATGAAGTTAGAAAGGAAGATTTCAGATCATGACTTCTCGTGTCAGGGTTTACCTTTGCCAAGCCAAGGACCTGGGGTGTCATGCTCCCACATGGAAAAATGGACCACGTCCTGGCCTGGGGATGGTGTCATAATGCAGTGGGGATTGCATAGGGAAGAAAATCTTGTCCTCCAGCATTTCCAAGGGTAGCTTACCCCCTTCAAGCCAGAAAACAAGGACGATGCTACAATTATGGTGAGAAAGGAAGACTGGATGGAAATTGAGTTCTCACCAGTCAGTACCTCCTCATGGCACCAGTGCCTCCTACAGTCTGATGTGGCCCATTTAGGGGAACAAGCTTGGCTGTTCTCATCCCTCTTTGCTATTGTCATGGGGCTTTTGAGCCTCCTTTCATGGCTACAGTTTTTCCCTGGAAGTTTTTTCTAGCCTTGGGCATCAAGCCTACATTACTGTGCCAAGTCATAGGTGCATTGCCAGTTGGCAGCCTTGCACGTCCAGCCATCCATCACTGGTGTGCAGAGCCACCTCTTGCTGTAAGACATGGGTAGGCTAACTCTGCTCATTTAGGGCTGGCCTGGACATAACCATTCCACTTTCCGAGAGACAGCAGGCAGGCTGCCTTAGCCTAGCCATGCCACACAGTCCTGACTTGCTGTATATCTTGCCTCTCATCTCTCATGTTTCAGCCCTTTCTCTTGTGTTAGTTCTGAACTGAACAATGGCAATACTGACAAGTGAATCAAAGCACTGACACAAAGCCAGGCCATCACACAGATAATCTAAATTATGCAGAGTTTGTGTCTTCTTGTCTTCCTCAATCCAGGGAACTGAACCCCTGGTAAGGCACAAAGGACACTACAATTTACCTTTAATTTGGAAATATGAAACTACATCTCTACAATATTTCCTGGGAGAACAGGTTTCTTGACAGTCTGTCTAGAAGTTTATAATGCAACAGTACCCATGAACATCAGCGACACCAAGGTACATTTGGCTTGAAGTACACTTCGGCTGTCCTGGCCAAGCACAAAGCTATGCAAGACAATGGCATCAGAGGGTGGTCATAAGCAGTTGAATGATTAACTGTTTGCTGCATCCTTGCTCCCACTTTTCCCTCAACCATCCTAACCCTTCATCAGGGAACAAGCCATCCTAGAAGCAAGCAGAGACAGCTTCCCAACACCATTAAGCAGCCTTGCCTACCTGTCTCCTACACCTAGCACATGGGGCTAGTCATTGTTTTAGAAAACTGATCTGAGATCCTGAAATCTCCAAAACAGGCACATCTTACCACTAGTCCCAGCTAAAACAAGAGAGGAGAGCAACAGCAACTACACAGTAGTAGAGCAGAAGGTTCCTCCTGTCAAGCTGATGCAGGAGCACTAGTCACTTCTATTTTCTTGCCTGTGGGTAAGGCCAAACAGCCTGCTATTGGTAAAAGGGTGGCAAGCATACTTGGGATTGAGAAGGGAGTCTGATTGTGATTGACTGGACAATTCTAGAACTAGAAGGGCAAGACTATGAGCTGGACAGGAAGACTCAGATACCTTCTCAGAAATAATATGAATGCGCAAAAAGTCTGTAAAGGAGAGGCAGGAGCTGATGGGGATGATGACTGAGAGACCTACAAGAAGCAAGTATGCAGTGATGGCACTTACAGCTACAGCTGTGACCTCTTCCTCTTGCTTTGAATCAAATAATGCATAAGCTTATTGCTTTCAAATCAGCAAGTACATATATATAAGCAGAAAATAGCTAGGTATTTTGCATAAAACATTCTGCCAGAGCATCCCTCAGATTTTGGCCCTTCTGGTTCCCACGGGCAAATGAACAAGCCACAGCAGACACTGATTCCATCTCATCTTCCTACTCCCAGGCTTCAGCCATCTGCTCGCCCTTACACTCACAAATTTAGTGCACAATACAGCAGTAAAATGAGATCCTGATACAGAGGCTGTTTCCAGACCCACTCTATGAAGCCTCCTTTCTGGCAGTCGAACTATGATGAAAGCAGTGATGACTTTGGCTACTTGATGAACAAAGGTACGAAATGCACTGAAGATCAGCTAGTAACAAGGACAGTAAATCCATTGATTTTGTCACACTAAAAGAATTGTGCTGCCCACCTCCAAGCTAAAACTATGAAAACAACTCTGCTTGAAGGGCTGAAGATGGTAATGTTCCGACAATAACCCTGTGAAATGGAGGAGGGTGAGAGTTGAGCAAAACTTACTATGACATTCTCTACATCCACCATCTGAAAGCAGCGTGCATTGGGCACTTTGTAAAGCAACAGGCAGGTGACACATTCCACATCACAGTGCTAGCTTTCAGCTTTTCTGCCCTGACAGGCAATGGAAAAGCAGGAGTTATGCGGTGATCTAACTTTCCAGATAATGGATGAGCTTCTTTACAGATACCCAAGAACATCACTTTTACCATTCTGAAGTTCTTTCTGCTGACATTCTTCTCATCTTTGCTGCATACTTCATGCCACTAGGCATTGTATCACTCACATCCAGATACTTTGTGAAGTGGAAACTCTATCTGCAATTCATGCAGTTTCATGAAATCTGAAAAATTATTTAGAAATTGGGCAAATCCTCTAATATAACTCCTTTCCTGTATGCTCCCTCTTTTCTTGTATGCAGTCTATAATGAGTAGACAATGCTATTCCAGAAGGAATCTACATGAAACTCTACTGCAAATTTTAATGCTGAAGAGCCACTTGGAAGACGTCTGCAGCATGGTCTGAAAGTGGCATCCAGGAAGTGAAAAAGGAAAAGATTATGAAGTACCCTGGCAGTAGCAAGTTAGAAGTGTCCTTTTGGCAGCAACACTGGGTTTTTTGAAAGAGGGATCTGATTTTGGGGAAAGAAGCCAACTCCTTAGAAATATTGCTCCCAAACATTCCTAGAATTCAGCTGGGCTGGCATCTCATGAAGCACGGGAGAATTGTAAAGCCCTTTAGGATACTAGGCAGCACTTTAGGATACTAGGCAGCAAGCGGGTAAATTAGCTGGCACAAACGCTATATTGTGTACTTAGGGTAATTTAACAGAAATTTAGCCATGTGATCACCACAGAACCAAATTTATACTGTCATATCTTTTGTGAATGTACAGACAGAAGCTTAATGAACATCCAACCACAATCTTAGCTGTCACAACTCACAGCAAAAATATGGCTTGGTGGAAAGAAGAAACTCTACTGAAATTGTCATAGGCTCTATGGAGGTCTTTTGTGCTCCAGAAGCAGCAATACACCAACACAGACTTTGAGATAAATTAGCCACGGTCTAGGGGAAATGATCACAAAGGATTGTTGTAATGTTGCCAGATCACAGTGCCAATGAAGTTTTCCAAACTAGGAAACGGAGGAAGGAAATGTGAAGTCGAGGGAATTACAAGGATTATTTTACACTTAACTAGAATATCAACTAGCAACTTAAAGTAACTATGAAATGCAAGCAGGCCAACTGGGACACTTAAAAGATCAGGCTTGCAAAAAAAAATTCAAAATAGAGGATAAAGATATGAACCACCAAAGTGTTAATGATAACACTCACTGGTTAAGATATACCATCTGAACTAGGCTAAAATGGGTCTGTAGAATTTGAACAATAAGTTCTCAGTAACCATGCAAGTTAATGAGACAAAGGTCCACTAAATTTCATTGTGATTAGTAATGATGCAATCAGTGTCAGGAACATATTTTGCAAATACTTTGGGAAATCCTCTCTAAAAATATGGTCTATGTGAACCAAAATTGTATAACCTTAACAGATTGTTTTTCGTTTGGGGCAGAAAGCATAATAACAGCTGCATGATTGTGGTGGCTTTCTTGCAAAGAAAAGATAAGAAACAGTGTGAACTACTTCTTAAGCAACTGCAATTCATAGTCATAAGATATCTGCCACCATAAACTTACCAGCAACTAACAATGCGATATTAATCTGAAAATTGCTGCCACTCGGGAAAAACACATCTCATGTCACTCTCTCTCCTATGTTCAGAGCCATTTCAGCATTCAGTCTGAAACTGCCTCTGAATATGAGTCAGAACCCTCAACTGTTACGGTCCTCACAGACTTCAAATAAAAATGAATCCCTGTTCATTTTCCAAGTGAACATCTGATAGAAGCCACCATATCTAACAGACAAACCAGGCACAAAATGCAAGCCAGTAGATCTGATGAACGTTAGAGCAGGAGAAAATGCGAGAGAATGAAATGAAAGTAAGGCCCCAATGGATTTTTTTTGGGGGAGGAAGCACTACCACATCTAACTAAGAAGCAGCAAGGAATTAAAATTTCCTGGTCAGGAGCTGGGAATTACTCTGATCTGAAATGGATACATGCAGTTTCGCAGTACTGAGTAAATGACTGAAATTTAAGAGTAACCATCCATTTAAAAGGCAAGGCATTATTTATGAAGAAAAAAGAGAACAAAGAGAAGATATTTCATGCATCACTGAGGAGGCGTATCAAAAAGCATAACTCTGCCAGTCAGTCCTTGGAAATCACTATTTCATCACATAAAATGTGACAGCATCTCTGTATGGACTACAGAGAATTAAATCAAATTGCTGGAAAAGAATCTGATCTGTTATCACTTTAAGTGATACTCTGGTTTCTGTAGCACATTCAACCATGCTTTTCATTTTGGATCTTAGGGCATGAGTATTGACAAATGAACTAGAAATGACTGCTGTTTCAGCTGGCCAAGATCTGTGTGAACATAATGCTAGGGTTTGAGCTTGTGCACGTCAGGTGGATGTTTGCTGCGGTATGTCAAACCTATTGAACAGAAGCTGTAAACACTACAAGTGGTTTGGTATAAGGAAAATACTAGGATTTACAGAACTTGATAACACTGTCAGGTCAGAAAAAAAATCTGTAGTACTCAGCTCATGCTTCACAGCTTACAAATTTTGTAATGCAAAATTCTTGTGCAAAAACACTGCACAGATTCAGTGTTCAAGGGTGTGAATTTACATTTTCAGCATTTAAATGGGTTCTTGTGGTTACTTTGTGTTAAGCTACTAAGGTCAAAATTGGACATACATGTCTCTAAAACTGGAGGTAATTACTGAAAAGCCAGTGCCATATTACAGCAGAAGTCCAACTCCTCCCAAGAGAAACTACTGAGGGAGCCAGACTCTTCTCAGTGGCACTTAGTGACAGGGGAAGAGCACTGCGCACAAACTGAAATACATGACATTCCAGCTGTGTGTGGTTAAACATGTGACATTCCAGTGATGGTGGTTAAACACTGGCAGAGGTTGCCCAGAAAGGCTATGGTGTCTCCATCCCTAGAGATATTCAGAACCCAAATGGACATGGTCTTGCTGGACAACCTGCTCTGGCTGACCCTGCTTTAACAAGAAGAGTGGACTAGATGATCTTGAGAGGTCCGTTCCAACCTCAACCATGCTGTGGTTCTATGGTACTGTGCCACTCCAGAGAGAACCCAGGAGTAGGTACCTCTGCAGAGCACCTTCTCTATAACTTCAGTGGGAGTAAAATTATTTGGGATGGGTGATATTAAAATAGAAAAAGAGATAGTAAGACACCTAGAAATATCTGTGCAGGAAGACACTATATGTACACACACTATGCGGTGTTAATACCTTTTGTCTGCTGAATGTTTGGAGAGGGGACCAACAGTGCAACATTACAGGATTCCTGGGACTAAGAGATAGGGTCTGCAAAATCCTCTGAGGCAGTCACAGAGCATGACTGAATATCTCCCAGTACGACTAACCTCTAACTGGGGAAAGATAGATACAGTCTAGAATACTGCTTTTAATAAGTGACAACTTCCAATTTACAATATTATCATTTTGCACCCTCTTAGGAAGATGGGAAAGTTGTTACAGGGAATTTTATGAGATGGCTTATATTGCACTGAAACTGCTAAAATTGCTACCCTTATTTAATAAAAATGCAGAAGACAAGAAACTCTTTACATCTAAGCTAGATTTTTCACCTAAACAAAGGCACATGCTATTAGTGAAAAGACAGACACACAGAATAGTAGGGATTTTCTAGATACTGTTCTGTGAAACACTGTGCACCTGGTAGAGATGCAAAGACAAGAGAAATTGCTTAGTTCTGCTGTGTTCGGGGAAACTGTATATTACTCAATACATTAACACAACACTGTCTGAGCCTTGTTTGTTTAACCTGACTTTATCCTCAATGTTCTCCTCTAATAACTTGCCACATCCTATGTTCTTGCTAGCCACATGGCCAAACTGGAGACGAGGTTAGGAAAACAACAAAAGCAGCTTGTCTTAATTTGTATTCTTTGAATTGGTCCTCACTGGTTTCTATGACTTCAAATGTAGTTCAATTAACTGTGGTTGAAACAGTGCCTTGTGATTTAGATTTAATGATCTAGCCCTAAATTATTATTCTACTGTAGTAAGATCAATAGAAAAGTTTTGATTTTTTCCTAACACAAAATTGTTCTAGTGTCCAAAATGCAGATATTTTAGGATGGTATCAATGGCAGTACAGCTTGATAAATTACCAGTCTGTCATGGTTGAGTTCTTTCTTGATGATCTTTAACAAACTTCACTATTTTGTAAATTTTTGTTGTAGACAGTTCCAAAAGACTTCCATCAGTTGCAGACTTGGTGCCCATCATGACAGATTATACTGTAGTTTAGCATGACAGATTATACTGTAGTTTAGCAAGATAGCCATTGATAGAAGTAAGTTCAAATTCTAGTTAGAATTTTCGAAAAGCCTCAGAATCCCCAAATTGCTATATCAAGCAATAATAGCTGAATTCAAGAGCCCCAGATTTCTTTTTTTATTAAAAAAACTATATTTTCCTACCGTTCAGGATTCCTAAAAAGTCTTGTGCTTAACAAAACAGAGAGAATATTGAAGGAATTCATAACACTTGATGCAAAGCATACTGGAGTATGCTCTCTCTGTGGTTTGGCTACTAGTAGGTTTCCAATTTTGCTGCATATATTCTTGTATTATACTGTGGTTATTAATACATCTTCAATCCATATTCTTTTACAGCTGGAAACCTTTTCTGAGTTGGTAGCACATATACAATACAACACTAATGCCTGCAGGAGCTTGATCCTGCATATATCTCTCTGCAGCCTGCATTGATGGCTCAAGGTCTGAGGTTGCATACATGAAGAGGACGAAGAGCCTAGTTTCACCCTTTTCTCCTGAGAAGGCCTGGCAATGATGTAGAAGGACAGTTTGCAACATACACTCCCTAAATAAGTGTTGTCTGTCTCCTCAAAGGAAAAGACAGGAAGCCAGATGGAAGCATCTTGGAGATGCAAACTTTATCTACATGCTGTCAGTTGGACCACTCTGTACACAAGGAGCTTTCCAGCAGTTAGCTTAACTACACTGTCAGGAATATGAAAATATTTTAGCAATTAAAGACCACTAGCAATGCTAGGCAATTAGGCTGTGACCGAGTTTGCTCTTCTTCGAAAGGAAGCTGGTTTAATTTTTTATTTATTCTGGATTTCCATATTCATTCAATTAATGCTTCATAGTAATTTGCTGTTCCAGTTTTAATTCTAAACTCAACTGTCCTAATAAGAGACTAACTCCACCCAGAGCAATCATTCCAAAATATTACTGCCACCTTATCTTCTCTCTTACTTGCTGCGTGTAGGTACTTCCCTGGCTACCACTTCAGTGAACAACCAATTTAAGCTTCCAGCTTCAAGGTCCCATGTACTTCAGTCCTAATGACATTTATGAAATCGAGGTTTTCTGAGCATCATCATGAATCTGATTTCAGCCCCCACACTCATGAAAATAGCAGGGATTGTTATTCAGTCAGAGATCCTACAGACATGACGAGAAGATGTCATCCAGCTGGCCAGGAAAAGCTGTCCAGCTGCCCTTTAAGGAACTTAAAGTCCCTTTGTAATGGTTTATGAAGACTGCAGTATTTAACTAAACAAAGTTACATAGGTTTGATAATGTATGGTAAGTTATTACATTAATAGGTGGTAATACAAAATACTTAGGGCAGAAAATGTTTCTGAGTAGAAAACAATCTACCAGCAATGTACCACAGTGACTATATGCATTATATTATTGGCTAAATCCTCTCTTCCCTTAGAACTCTAATACTCATAAAACTAATAATAATAGCCATGTTAGGTTGTGAAAACTGTTTCTGTATTCCCATATTACTTTCATTTTGAAAGGACCCTCAAAAAGATCACCATTTTGTATTTGTAAGAAGAAAGGAGCATAGCTTTGCACCTTTTTCTTTGTAAGAAACATGTTTAGTTTTCTTTAGTCAACTTGTCAGTCTGCTGATGCCAGATTTTGCAAGGTAGATGCTCATTAAGAATATTAGGGGCCTCTTGCAGAATTACAAGAACTATCTCACAGCTGAACCAGCACTTTTTTTTTAATTATTTTTTTTTTGCCTTTCATGAACCACAACACAGCCTGTAGGCCCTCAGGTGTATGTAGCATCAGTTGAAAACCACCCTTCCACAAAGAAGAGGAAGTTTAAGTCTGTTTTGCTAACAGACTTAGAAGCATTGGGGCTGTTTGTATCTAGGTTTTCCTACCAAAAACATCAGGTTCAGATATAGCATGAATTTAGGAGATATTGCCAGGCCACCAAATCAATGAAAAGTCCAGGGTGTCCTGTCAATTTCGAATAAAAGCCCTTAACAAGTGAAGAACAATAGGGTGCTACTCTTAAACTACCAACAAACTTCTGCACATGCATTATTTAATGAAAACTTTGCCAAATCTTGTTTAAGCCCTAGACTGATTGATGTAAAATCAATAGCTGAATTAATTTCTGATCTAACTCCACTAAGTCAGATGAATTGCATCATGTGAATTCAAACTGAATGACTTCAGATGACTGATGTTTAGTTGGTACACTTACTGCCCTTTTAAGCATATCAATAAGCTGCTAATGACATGAAAAATACATTTTGGAAAGTGCAGACATCATGAGTGAATACCTCCTCCCCCTGCCAGGAACACCGAACAATTTCTGTTCTGCTGTTTCAACTTTCTGCCTGCTCCTCCTCCAGGTTCTTCCTCAACACCTTTATAGGGAACGCCGGACAAGGCAGCAGCCGCGCCCTGAGCTCTTTGTAAAGCAAAGAGCTCCCAGCAGCAAGATCCGTCTCATGGGAGCAAGCCAGTGCGCCGTTTCGCCCAGGAGAGGGCACCCTTACACCTGGCCGCACAACCGGACATGGACGCGCATAGGAAGAACAGGAACGGTAAGATGACAAACTCATACTCGGTCAACTTGCACAACCAGTTGGTTATTTTTATGATAAAGCTAATCTTCGGCATGAGTTGAGTCATCCAGACGCTGCCATAACAGGAACACAAGATGACAGACAATAAACGTGCAGCCTAAATTTTTTTGTAGTCTCTGAAATGTGCTAAATGATAGCAGATAAAAAAAGACAACTTCTGGCATGTAGGCCTCTCTGTTAAATGCTGGAATGACAGAAAGAGGTGTACCTTTGGTTGAAAAAGAGGGTTAAGTTTAAAAATAACCTGGTTTATGAATATTATTTGTTGCTAATTTTTTAAATAAAGCATTATTATAAATGAGCATATGAACGTTTAAATGCAGTTTGCATTTAACAGTAAATCCTCATATAGATGCCTCATGAAATAAACAAAATAAGAATCAAAAATATGTTACAGGTTAACCCCCTGAAATCAGTATACATATCTCCCTAGGCAACTCTCCTCTCCAATACGAAATGCTCCAGCAATAATGAAAGAAGATCAAGCCTGATATTTTTGATTTTTCTAAATGAACGAGGCCAAGATGAGGAGAGGGTAAGTCTTGTTATGCAAGGGACAAAGCAGCAAAAGAGGATCAGAATGTTGCATGCTGGAAAGTTATAGTTTAAAAAATGGCATTTTCTCCTAATCACAGGAAGCAATCTTAACAATTCCAAAATCCCTCTGAGTAATCCTAATGGAAACATATCCTATTGATATGAACAGGATAAAATTGGGAAAATAAGTAAATGAGAAAAAAGATCATGAAGAATCTTAACAGAAATATAATCATACTTTGTGCTGTCATAAGCATCTTGGGGGCCCCAGGCAGTGTACTGGGGTATGGGGCCATCCCTAGTCTCAGACAGATAAACCATGCACATGGTGACTGTTCTGTATGGACAGTGAGTCCAACATGGACTCTTCATTAGGGACTGTAGTGATAGGACAAGGGGTAATGGGTTAAAACTTAAACAGGGGAAGTTTAGATTGGATATAAGGAGGAAATTCTTTCATGTTAGGGTGGTGAGGCACTGGAATGGGTTGCCCATGGAGGTTGTGAATGCTCCATCCCTGGCAGTGTTCAAGGCCAGGTTGGATGAGGCCTTGGGTGATATGGTTTAGAGCGAGGTGTCCCTGCCCATGGCAGGGGGGTTGGAACTGGATGATCTTAAGGTCCTTTCCAACCCTAACTATTCTGAGATTCTGTGTACAATTTGTGCATGAACAAGAGCCACTTTTCCATTAGAATAAGGAGAACTTTCATACATATAGGTTGCAGGATAGATAATATATCCCATATTACATGGGAGATGATATATTATTTAGGATTTTTGGCTATCCTAGCTTAAGATAACGAATATTTACAGCCTTTCTCTATTGAGAGCTTGGGCTGCAGTCCTACAGTCACTGATCTTACTTTATAGGCACTGATCCTTTTAACTTTCCTCCTGCAGTAATCTTACATAGTTTGAACATTATTAATTTGATTTTATTTTGCAGTAACAGACACCGTATTTCCTGCTCCCACTTCCCAAAGTATTTCAAAGCAGCATGCCAAACACACTAAACAATGCATGTATAACCAGAATTGTATCTCCCACTCTACTAGTTATGATGAATACCAAGGGGCAAAAGTATAGAACAATTTGCAGCCAGTTTGTGAAAGCTGCTATTGAAAGAACTGCTTGTTAGAAGGCTAAATTGATGATGGGATCAATGAAAGAACTATCTTCTGAACTAAAATATACTACAAAATTCTGTAATTCAAAAAGTGAGCTCTCTTCAAAGGACTACAGTTTTACATTTTGTGTTTGGATTTTTCTAAGGATGAAAGACTAATGAGAACTTAATTCAGAGAATAGATACAGGACTACAATAAAACCCAAATCCCTCAACACCTATTCAAAGACAGCTAGACTATGGCCCAGTACTGGCCTAAAACCCTGTAGAGTCTTCTGTAAAATAATAAACTCTAGTAAAGCACAAAACAGCATAGGAGATATACAGGGATAGCCCTAGCATGATGATTACATAAGGTACTGATGTTTATGCAATGTTTTTATCCTGGCAAAACTCACCACTACTCTGTTCTATCCCCCAAAAGCCTTTCTATATCTTATCTTTTACCAAAGATAAAATTAACACAATACATAGTGAATATGACACATCTGTGAGGTAACTGAAAGATGCCTATTTAAGTACAAGGGAAAGGAGTGTGGTGCACTAAGGAAAAGAGATACAGTAATTCATATTAATTTGATTTGCTTTTTGCAGTAACAGACTCTGACATTTGTAATCCAAATGAGCACATGAAAATGAACCTAGATACAAACCAGGCAAAATCACTGCCCTTTACTGTGGCAGTTACTGGATGTCTACTACCCAAAACATACAAGCGTACTCAACAGGAACACAAAGGATTCTGACGCTTGATAAAGGTCATGTTTTCCACTCCATTCAGAGCATAATCTAAATATTAGAAGCTCAGTTTCTTTCTATGAGCTGTCTGAAAAGACAAGAGGCATTTAACCCAGAGATTTTATGCAATACCTTTATAATTTTTGTCTACAGTTCTCAATAGGGGCTCATCACACCATGGACCTAACTTCCATCTATGAGCGCTAAGAAGCAGAGAAGTTATTACCTTCACTTTACAAATAAGAGCCTAAGGCCCAGGGAAGGCACAGAGAATCCACGGTCTACCTTCTCAAAAGGAACTTCAGATTTATCAGTGGGATTTAGACATCTAAATTATTATAAAGATGAAGGCCGAAGCTCGCACTACAAGACTTAAAAAAAAAAATCAGGCCTAATGCAAAATGGTGCTTCTCAAAAAAGTACTGAAAACCGCAGCTGAAAAACTGCACTGTGTATTGCATTAAAAACAAGTATTGGTCTGAAGGCGGCCTAATTCGATGAACAGATGCCCATGGTACAACAACTTTGCAGGAAAATGGACTTTTTCCACCCAAACCACAGAGGAAGAACAAGCACACAGTAAAAGGAATATATACATTTGTATATATTATATTGACAGGTATTTTATTTTTATCAGCTGGGCCTTTCTTTGCTGTGTACATAATAGTGAAAATGTTGTTTATACTAATGGAGATAAATAAACAGCATTTGCAGCTGACAGTCATACCAGAAGCAGATGTTTGTTGAGATAAATATCCATGTTGTACATTGTCCTCCTGCACTGCACCGTTAAGAGGCACTATAAAATCTTTCTGTAGACCTTAATGTCTTGAAAGCCTCTACTTCCTGAATAAACAACAGTCGTAAATGCAATCTCATGCTCTCCTCTGAAAATCTGCCTACAGTTTTCCATACCACACCGTATTTTGTGCACCTCAGGCTAGCAGGGATGGTTACTGGTCCCCTATTTCAGTTTTCTAAACAGAGCAGTATCTGTGGGTTGCTGATTGCTCCTGCAATAAAACGTAACAGTCAACTAGGACTGACATTCACCTTTTACTCTACTTCTAAAATCTTGTAATGGAATCCATGAAAACTTCCTTATGCTGCCTCCTCAGAGGTGGCTGCTTCTGGGCCTGCCGGGCCTGTATGCTCCCTCTATCCCGTGTGAGGAGGCAGCCGCGTCTCCAAGGGAAAGGCGAGGGTGGGAGGAGGGCAAGGAGCCGGGCCAGAAGAAATGTGTGAGAAGCTGCAGTTTTCTCCAGTGAGCGGAAAAAAATGGATGAGTACTGCTGCCTGGGCAGGTTGAGCGGTCCCCAAGGCATGTAAACCCCCCCCGTGGTTATTTTTGCTCAGGACTTGAGCAGGAAACGTGACAGCTCTTCCTTGAGCCAGATGTTTCCTGAGGGACATCTCAGACTTCTCCCCTGCTACCTCAGGACCCCCCTGGTCCAGCCCAGCAGCCAGCTCAGGCCTCCCGAAGGCACCGCTTCACCCCTTTCTCCTGTTCGGTGCCTCACGGCTCCCCGCCGCTACGCGTTGGGGCACAATGCCGGGCGGGTCGCGTTGCCTGCGGCGGGAGCCATGACAACGCAACCGCCTTAGCTCTGCTCCGGGGCTCGCCGCCGCCAGCGGCGGCAGGGCTCTACCTGCAGACTTTTTTCCTCACGCTTTTGCCGGGCGCCGCCAGGGAACCCACCCGGACCAGGACACGGCGAGCGGCGGCAGGAAGGCAGGAATCTCCCGGGGCAGGCAGCGAGCGACGCGAACCCCCCACACCTAAGGAGGAGGAGGCATCATTCTACTCTTGGGGGCAGCAGAGGGTGACAGGCCAAGCGCGCCTGCAGCCGCCCCACCAGCCAACGCTCGGCCCCCACCGTTGGGGAACCCCAGTGCCCGCTCCCCGCACCCCGCAGCCCCTCCTGAGCAAAGGCGGCAGAGGCGCCTGCTTCAGCGCGCATGCTCAGGGCGGGCGCCATTTTGGTTGGGGCCGGGAGTTATCCAGCGGGAGCGGCGGCGGAGCTCGCTGGGCCCGGCTCGGAGGTGGCGAGTGGGTGCCCGCTGCGGAGATGGCTAACATTGCGGTGCAGAGGATCAAGCGGGAGTTCAAGGAGGTGCTCAAGAGCGAGGAGGTCAGAGCCTCTCCCCTTACCCCTGCGCGCCGCCACCACCCTTCCCCGTGTATGTGCATGAGTGTGGGCAGCGAGGGAAGGTACGGGTGCCTCTCCGGCCTGCGCGGGGACCCCGCTTCCCCTTCAGCCCCACCTCCCCGCAATGGGGGTGGGCCCGTCCCACGGCCTCGGGGAGGGGTATGGCGATTCCCGGGGAGACGGAACCGGCCAGCCGGTTGGGGGGGGGGAGGTGGAGGTGGAGGAGGGGGAGGGGGCCGCGGAGCCCCTCCCCCAGCGGGCAGCCGGAGCTGCCGGCAGTCCAAGGGGGAAGCGCGGCCGGCGGGCCGGGCCCAGGAAGTGTGGTGGTGGCTGTGGCGGCGGCTGCGGGGGCACAGCTTAGGAGGCCGGCCAGGCAGGCAGGCAGGCAGGCCCCCGGGAAGGGTCCCCGGTAGCATGCTGCCAGGCCGGAGGCTGCGGGGCGGGGCCTGCCCGGCTCGGGGCGCCCCCGGACCGAGCTTCCCTGCGTCCCTCCGCGCGCGCTTGAGTGCCGCCGCCCGCGCGCGGTCGGGCCCACGCGCCTGTCGGTCGGCGGGGGGCTGGGGGGAAGGGCCGCGGGAAGGGGGATGGTGTGAGCCCTCCGTGCAAGTCGGGGGGTGATGAAGCGAATTGGAGGGGTTGGTGCTCTCACACGTTCCCTGGAGCTCATCCCTCCGGTTAGGGCCGGAGGCTGCAGAGCGTGGCTTTAATTAGTTTCTCTTACAGGGTTGCAAGGAGATCCCTATTTATTTAGGTTACTTTAATACAGAACTTCCTTTATCCCACTGCAGGCTTACTCACCTTCAGATGGATGCTTTTAATGCCTCCCTCGTTTCAGTCATGTTACCTCGTTTCCTGAACTCTGTGTTCTGAGGCGGTTAGTAAGAGAAGCTGACCACTTCCAGGGGGACATGAAGTTCTGGTCAGTTTGGGGGGTTATATATCGGCGTTTGCAGGGTTACATTAGTACAGATTCTGCTGTGTCTGTGTCTGAGTTGGTGGATGTCAGCCAGATAGGTTTTAATGGTTGTGTCGTCATTGTCATCCTACTTGGGATGATGTTGCAGGTTAAATGCTTGTGAAATTTTAATGGGAATATGCAACTCCTAAAGCTAGTGTTTTAGAACTCTAGACATATTCACAGAGGAGAAGTCAAGAGAATAATTTCTGAAGGATACTAATGATCTAAGGAAAACATGTTCAGGGCAGCAGTAGTTGATGTGCTTTTAAATTGAGTGTGCTAACAGCATTGTTGCTATGCAGCTTGAACAAGCCCCTAGAAAAATGTAAGGGCCTTGTTTTACAGTTGCCTTCAGAGCCCAGGCTGATTGAGCGAAGCTGTTCCACAGTGAATACAGAATTGCCTGTAAACTAGGAGAAATTTCTAGGTGGACACCTTTATACCAAAGCTAGAAAATCTAGACCTTGTACCTCTTATGACAGGCTGGTATTATGGGAACAAAGGAGTCTTTATTTGAAAGTGCTGTCTAAAGGCTTCAAGACCCTTTCCCTTTACATAGGAAAAGAAACTGTGAATGGCACAGGTTTTGGGGAGATTTATGACGGATTTTCTTACTGTAAAGGTTGAATCTAGTGTGCTTCAGTGCATAGACTAAACCATTTGTTTAGTCTGTGCATTGAAGGGCTTGGTACAGAATGTTGGAAATAAATAATATTGTGAAGTAGCCTTTAAGCTTCCCAGAGCTTCCCCAAAATCAGGCCACAATTCTTATGAAATGAAAATGGTGGAATTTTAAAGTTACAGTGCTGAAGAGTTTGATACTTCTTATTTCTACCATTAGGAAGCTAAATATGAGTGTTTTACTGATACAGCAGTATGTATAAAATTTATGTTTACAGACTACACAAATTCACCTGTCTTGAATGCAAAATTTCAGTGTTACTGAATGGTTGTCCAAGTTACAAGCAAAGTTTTTGTGAACGTTTGTATATTCAGAGGCAGTCAAACTATGGTGTTAGTATCACTGAGCATGAAAGCATATAGAATAAGGTGGTGAATAGGGGTGTAACTAAATACTACAAACCACAGAGGAGAAAAATGTATTTTTCTGTGTGTTTCATGTACTTAAATGATTATGAAACTTTTTTCTTAAAAAAAGAATTAAAGACAACTTTTTCATGAATGGTGATGCTGAACCTGTTATTTTGAAGTTCCGAGAACTTCTCCAAAGGCAAGGTGACTCACAATGTCTGCACTTAAATTATTCTTGATTTGATACTTTGAGCTACATCTGAATAGCAGCCACCCCTGTTTCTTTGTATGTGCCATATGAGCACTAATACCTGGGAAAGGGGCAGGCACGCTTGGAAATAATACATAGGAAGTTTATCATTCAGCTTCTTCTAGTGCTCACTTTTGGACTGAAATATAATGGTAGAACCAGAAATGTGTTTAAAAGGGAGCAGCTGGATGGCAGTTAATTCCTCCTGCATTTGAAGTACATATTGGAAGCACCAAATTTCAGTTCTAAATATCAGTAAAGAAAGAGTTCTGAAAAGTGTGTTTATCTTTGCTGTGGATAAGGATCTACGCATTCTTGGTCAAGGATGCGGTGGATCCTTGCTATTCATCTGACTGAGTGTACTTTTCATGTTACTTAGCTCTTTCAATTTCCTTGACTTAAATGGCATTTCTGGGAAATTGCCAAAATGTGTATTTTAGACTATCTTGTTCTTTGGTTTACAGATAAGCTATGAAGGATTTTTTTATTTTTTTTTTTAAGTTGAATCTGGGGCTTCTTGCGTGTTTTGGAAAAGCATTCTTTTCACACTTACGCAAGAGAAATGTATTTGCTCTGCTTGCTTTTTATCTCTAGTTTTATTATAAGCCCTACGCATTAACTTACGGAGTGGGATATTGTGTATTTAAGAAAGTTCCTTGTAACTTTGCATCTCTTTAATACTTGAATTAAATAGATCAAAGTGACAGCTATTTCTTTGTCAGGAGTGCTCTCCAAAGGATTATAATAAAATAAAACTCTTTACCTTTGTGTGTGGTAAAAGCTTTAAAATTTGAAGGTAGATGAGGTCCTGTGTCTTTAACAAAGATGCAGCTGTTAAGTTAATGTAGGTAATAACTTGACTGGTTAAATATGTGTTAAGGCTACTGTGCTGTGCTTGTATTAAAAATCTAAAATGACTAGGCAGTACATTAGATCATATTTCAAATCCTAGTCTAGGCAAGGCATCAATTGGTCAAACTTATTCTCTTGTTCTGTCATTTCATTCATCTGTTATCTTGTTGATTTTGTGGGCTGAAATTCTAAAGCTGCAGAACATATTTTGAGCAAAAGTATGAGGCTACAGTGTGATGGAGAAACCATAAATTGGTGGAGGGAGAATAGTGTCCCACTTCTGATCAGTGGGAGAATGCTTTGGTGAAGATACACTATTTCAAAACAGAGTTACTGGAATGCTGGGGTGGGTAGCCAATTACGTGCTGTCTGTTTATAAGCAGCTATATTATGAGAGGAGGAGTCTGGTGTTTAACAATGAATAGAAATGTGTTGAAACGTCTTGTGGTGACTTAAACACTGATGCTGAGAAGTGGTTGAAATTCACCAGGTATTAAACAATGTGTGACTTGTTTTCATATTTTAATAGAGCATCAGTGTTATGCTTTAAGGAAATTATATTATGCTAGCATCGAAGGATTCATTGTTTAATTGGCTGTCCAGTTTCTTTTATCATGTAGGAATGTAAGGTGTTCTCTGGCCATCTGTAAGTAAGAGGCTAATAGATTTCTTACAGTGAAACCACTACTCTGGTACTGAAGGTAACGCATTGGGAAACATAGCTTCCTCCTAGCAAGAAGAGAGTTGGTATCTCTACCACAGAATGTTCTTTTCTTACAAATATCAAGGGACGGGTTTATCTGCATGGGAGGTAAACCCAGATAGAGGTGAGAGTAATTTAAACTTGACTGCAGTTGTGGAATACGAGTATCTGCATGAACAGATATCTGAATTGGCAGTTAAAATTTGTAACTTGTTTGAATCCAAAACAGCATTCAAGTGGAGACAGTAGGTTAATGGCAAAGTTGAAGGAAGTGGGTATTTGTTTTGAGGTCCGCTCTGACCTTTTGTAATTTAGAGGAGGAAGGGAGAAGGAAAAGGTAACAGTCTGCCATACTGTGTTCCTTAGGCTTTTAAAGTTCTAGTGAGTAGCTCTGGTGTTTGCTATTATCATTGTGTCTAGTGATCTTGTCATTTGTGTCAGTCTACAGTAAGATGCTAAGGGTCATCTCTGAAATTTTCTTGCTATTTGGAAAAGCTGTAAACATTTAATCTTAGCTTCAGAAAAACTTACTTTGTCTTTTTTATATTTGGGCAGTCTTGGGTACTAGAAGTTGAATTCACCACGGTGGAAACTTTTAGTAGTAATTGTGCTTTAGTATTGCTAGAAGGGCCTGTTGGAAATTGCAGATCCTTGTTTTTCTTCCCATTTATCATATAGAGCCAATGCAGATGTATAAGAATGAGATGCTGTCTGTTATGGCTCCTGAATTGGTGATATTTTATTAAACGTATCCATTTTCTGCCAATACATATGGTTAACTTTTGGTCTGTAAGAGCAGTCATGATGAAATTAGTAGTTTTGTGAGTGCAATGGGACTGTTGTGGTTTAACCCCAGCCAACAACTTTGAAGTACCACACAGCCGCTCACTCCCTGTACTCCCTGTGTGGGACAGGGAGGAGAATTGGGTTGGGTTAAGAACAGTTTAATAATTGAAATAAAGTAAAATGAAATAGTAATTATAACAATAGTAATGAAAAGGGAGATAACAAAAAGAGAGAGTGTAGAATAAAACCCAAGAAAACCAACTGATACACAATACAATTGCTCACTATCCAGTGACTGATACCTTTACTGTCCCCAAGCAGGGATCAGTGCCTCCCAGCCAACTTCCCCTGATCTATACACTGAGCATGATGCTTTATGGTTCGGAATATCGCTTTGGCTA